GCGGTTCCGCCCTCGCCCCGCCCCCGCTTCCGCCTCCGCCCCAGAGCAGAGTTCAGTCATTCGGCCCCCGGCCCCCTTTTTTCTGCGGGCGCGGGGGTTCCCGTGGCTCCGAGGGCGATGCTTCCAGTGGAAGCGCCTCGTGTCCTCGGTGGTTCGGGGACCACCGAAAATGCTGGGAAGGAGAACGTGGCCGAACGAATCGCCCTGCCACCCGCCGCCGCCGCCGAGTCGTTCGGTCCCCGCCTCCTTTCTCGATGGCGCGGGATCCCCAAACCCCCATGGGCGACGCTTCCCATGGACGAGCGCTGCGCCTGCAGAGGTTCGGGGCGCCCCCGAACCCATGGGGAGGAGAGCGCGGCCGAACGATTCAATTTGCCCTCCGCCGCCGCCGCCGCCGAGCCGCTCGGCCCCCGATTCCTCTCCAGCGGGCGCGGGGTTCCCCGGGCTCCGAGGGCGACGTTTCCCGCAGAAGCGTCTCGCGCCTTCGGGGCGGGCCCACGGGGGTAGGAGAGGGGGGGCGAACGGTCACTTGGCCCAGCACCGCCGCCGCAGAATCGCTCGGTCACCGCCCTCTGTCCCTCTGTCTTGCGGGAGCGGGATCTCCCAAACACCGAGGGCGACTCTTCCGATGGACGCGCTTCGTGCCCGCGGGGGTTCGGGGGAACTGAACCCATGGGGGGGGGTTGCCCCGCGCCGCAGCCGCCGAGTCGTTCAGCCCCCGCTGCCTTTTCCAGCGGGCGCGGGGACCCCCAGGCCTCCGAGGGCGACCCCAATGGAAGCGTTTCGTGCCCTCGGGGGCTCTGGGGCCCCCGCGACCCCATGGGGGGGGTAGAGCGTGGCCGAACGAGATTCACTTTGCCCTCTGCCGCCGCCGCCGAATCGTTCGGCCCCCGCCTCCTTTCTTGCGGGCGCGGGAGCCCCCCTGGCCCCGAGGGCGACGCTTCCGATGGAAGCGTTTCGTGCCCTCGGGGGCTCTGGGGCCCCCGCGACCCCATGGGGGGGTAGAGCGTGGCCGAACGATTCACTTTGCCCTCTGCCGCCGCCGCCGAATCGTTCGGCACCCGCCTCCTTTCTTGCGGGCGCGGGAGCCCCCCTGGCCCCGAGGGCGACGCTTCCGATGGAAGCGTTTCGTGCCCTCGGGGGTTCGGTAGACCCCCGAATTCACGGGGCAGGAGAGCGTGGCCGAACGATTCGCCCTGCTCGGCCCTGTTCCTGCTCGGCCCTGCTCAACTAGAGGCTGTCCAAGGGTATCCTCGGCCGCGCTCAGCTATCTTGATCGATTTCGAAGCTGCTTTGAGCCCCGCTAGACCTCCTGGGACCAACTTGGGGGTAGGAGGAGGAGGAGGAGGAGGAGGAGGAGGAGGAGGAGGAGGAGGAGGAAGACGAGGAGGAGGAGGAGGAGGAGGAGTAGGAGGAGGAGGTAGGAGGGGAGGCGGAAGAAGAGGAGGAGGAGGAAGAGGAGGACGAGGAGGAAGAGGAGAGGGGGGCAGAGGAAGAGGAAGAGGAGGAGGCGGATAATCCGGAGCAGGAAGAGGAAAACAACGAAGAGGAGGAGGAGGAGGAGGAGGAGGATAACAATAATGAATACGAGAGAAGCAGGAGGAAGAGGAGGAGGAGGAGGAAGAGGAAAACCAGGAACGCGGCACGAGGGAGATGAGGACGAGGAGGAGGAAGAAGAGGAGGACGGAAGAGGCAAGAAAGGAAGAAGGGAACAACGACCGATGACAACGAGAATGATACATCGGGCTTTCGAAATGCACTGTTGTGGGAGATGTGTGGGTATGTGTTGTGAATGGATGATGTTGTGTGGGATATATGTTGTTGTTTTGAGGTGCTATGTGTTGCTGTGAGTTCTTGGTGCATTTCACCACAGCTCCCTTATCACAAAATCCAAGCGGGGCATCCATGTTGACTCCCAGAACGAATGTGTACCCTTCAAACGTTTATTTGATGTCTGGATCGTTTTAAATTGCTGTGCACAAGGAATCCTAGTGTGGGCGCGAAATGGCTGGTTGTAATTGGTACCGATTGATTTTTGGCCGGTTGAGCAGTGTCCCAGTCGGTCGTCGTTGGTCCCAGTCCGTTGGGATTGGTCCCACATGCGGCCCACCCACCCCAGGGGGTGGTCCTCCCCTACACCGGGAGCGCGACGATGACGACGACGGCGGCGACGACGGTGACGACGACGGCGACGATGACGACGACGACAACGACGACGACAACGACGACGACGGCCACGGCGACGGCGACGGCGACGGCGACGACGACGACGACGACGACTGCGACGACGACGACGGCGACGGCGACGGGGGCGACGGCGACGGCGGCGATGGCGGCGACGGCAACGACGAAAGACGGCGACAGACTGCGACGGCGACGACGACAGACGGCGACGGCGACAACGGCGACGAAGACGACGACGACAACGACGAGCTTGTGAACCGGTCGGGCGAGCGGGACATTAAATGCAACCCTCACTCTGTGTTGGGGAACGGCCATGGAATATCACAACCGCCAGAGACGCAAGTCGTGCGTACGGGACATTCAATGAAACCTGTGGTCAATGATGGGGCGTCCAAATTGGGCGGGCGGGACACTGTATGCAACCTTCACTGAATGAAATGGAAAAGTTAAGGGAATTGATCACAGCCGCCGGAGACACCAGTCGGGCGGGCGTGGACAGTAAAGGAAACATTCACTCAGTGATGGGGCGTCCATATCGGGCGGGCGGGACAGACAATTCAACCTTCACTGCGCGCTGGGAAAGGTTATGGGAACATGTATCACGACCGCCAGAAACGCCAGTCGGGCGGACGGGGCATTAACTGAAACCTGTGGTCAATGATGGGGCGTCCAAATTGGGCGGGCGGGACATTTATATACAAATTTCGGCGTGTGAAATACATGAGTTAAGGGGGAATCGCTCACAATCGCCGAAAACGCAGGTCAGGCGATCGGGACACTGAAGGAACCAGTCAGTCAAGTTTGGGGCGTTCATATCGGGCGGGCGGGACATTAAACCAACTAGGTTTTCAGAACTCCCCCCCCCAATAGTGGAAATCTGATGTTTTTTTGTCGGCAGTCTTGCCTGGCTGTGGATCCAACAACCATGGAAAACACAAATTTCTCCACGGCGCCTGCCGCGCAGTGGCGACGACGACGACGACGACAACGACGACGACGAGTACTACTATTACGACTGCGACAACGATGCGGCTACAGCTACGGCTACGGCGACGACAACGAGTAGGAGATCATGAGGAACGCCTTCGGCGAAGAATGGGTCGACTTATATTGCAAGTCTCTTACAAGCGTGCTCAACATGCCTCTGTCGTGCAAGACCGACCAGAGATCATTACCCGCTGGGGTCATATTCAACGCGGCCAACATTACTGAGAAAGTAATATCCGCCGCGATGGCGACGACGACGACGACGACTACGACTACGATTGCGACTGCAATCGCAATTGCAATCACGGTTACAATCACGACTACGACCACCACAATCACGAGTCCAACCACAACCACGGATTCCTATTGCTGTCCTCGTGGGGAGATTCTCACTAATCCTCTCGCGTGTAGGGTAGCCCACAATAAATTATTCCCTGGGAGGAATGGCCCCCCCCACATTAGCCAGCCAGCCCAACAACAGAGGGAACATAACGCCGCCCGCGACGACGACGAGGAGGGGGGAGGAGGAGGAAAAGGAGGAGGAGGAGTAGAAGCAGGAGGACGAGCAGGAGGAGCAGGGGGAGGAGGAGCAGGAGGAGGAGCAGGAGGAGGAGCAGGAGGAGGAGCAGGAAGGGGGGAGGAGGAGGAAGAGGAGAAGGAGGAGGAGGAGGGAGAGGAGGGCCAATTTGCATTCACCGCCGAAAGAAACAGGGTGGGGAATCTAAAGACCTCCTGAAGTAAATGCAACCCTCACTCTGTGGTAGGAGAATGTCATGGGAGAATGAATCGCGATCGCCAAGGACGCCAGTCGGGCTGGCGAGATATTTCATAAAACCTGAGGCGTCCAAATTATGCGGGCTGGACATTAGATGCGACCTTCACTGTGTGAAACGAGACAGTTAACGGAACATCGCTCACAACACCCGAAGACGCCATTCGGGCGGGAGGGACATGTAAGGAACCATTCGTTCAAACATGGAGCGTTCATATAGGGCGGGCGGGATGTTGAATGCGATCTTCACTCGGTGTTGGAAGAAGGTCACGACCGCCGAAAACGCAGGACGGGCGGGCGAGACATAAAAATGAAACCTGTCGTCATCGTCGTCGTCGTCCGCCCTCGGGATTCTAGCGAGAGGAGAAGAGGGGAAAGGGGGGGGGGGAAGCCCCCCCCCTGGTTTTTTGGGCCTCCCCCCCCCTTTCGGAGCCTGGAGCCATTTTAGGGAGCCCCCCCCCTCCCTGGTCGAACCCCCGCTCCCTGGTCGAGCTCTTTCTCAGGTCGCAACAATACGGTTGGTTCGCCGCGTTTCTTTGCCCCGTCCTCCTCCTCCGCGCTCTCCTCGTCCCTCCCCCACGTCCACCTCCTTCTCCTTCTTCTCCCCTCCCAGGCCTCCTCTTCGTCTTCTGCTTAGTATTATCCTTATGTTTTTGACTCTTCGTATTATTGTGGTTATTCGCGTTCCCATTAGCATTATTCCACTTAGTATGAATAGTGCTCTTCCTCCTGTTTCCCCTTCTCCCTCCCTCCTGCTCCCGCTGTTACTGCTCCATCTCCACCGCCCCAACCACCTCCTCATCCTCCCCCTCCCCCTCCCTCCAAACCATCTCCTTAACCCCCTCCTCCTCCTCCTCCTCCTCCTCCTCCTCCTCCTCCTGTTCTTCTTCCGTCTCCCCCTCCTCCTCCTCCTCCTCCTTCTCCTCCTCCTCCTCCTCCTCCTCCTCCTCCTCCTCACAGACCTCCGACGACGACGAGATGATTGTTCGAGTCTCGTGGCCCTGCACCTCTCGACCGTTGACAGCGGCCCTGCACCCTGAGCGACGGCACCGTGGCCCTAACAAGCGGCTCCGACCAGGCCAACAGTGCAGAGCAGCACCTTGGAGTCGAGATCTTCGAGCCTCTGGGGGTATAGGCCCCCACGCCTCCTCCCTTGAGGGGCAACGATATGAAGGGGGGGCGCCCCAGGGGGGGGACAGCGACCTGGAATCGGCGATACAACGCCGATGGATCGAACTTGAGCTCCCGATAACGAACCCACACGCTCCTGGGTGGGGCAGGTCATCGGGCCTCCCGTCGGCCACCAGTGGGCGATTGGAGATCGATGCATTTCCACCTCTAGCCTATCACCCCCGATGATCCTCGTCGGTATGATTCTGGATCGTAACTCGGGTCTCCGGCAGCCGCTGGGACAATCCCAGCCCCCCCCGAACGCTCTCGACGAGGCGCATCTGATGGAAACCACCCTGATGGGAACCAGATGGAAAAACATCAGGGAATGAACCCGGCGCGACCACAAGAAGGGGAATGCTGCCTATTGCATGGGCGCAGTGCTTGGCATTGCTTGGCATTGCTTGGCATTGCTTGCCATTGCTTGGCAGTGCTTGGCATTGCTTGGCGCTGCTGGGGATCCCGAAGAACCTGACGAACCTGATGAACCCAGGAACCCGAGGAACCCGAGGAACCCGAGGGACCCGAGGGACCGGAGGAACCCAAGGAACCCGAGGAACCTGAGGAACCCGAGGACCCCGAGGAACCCAAGGAACCCGGGGCACCCAGGGCACCCGAGGAACCCTCGAGCAACGGGCAAAGTAAGCCCCAGAAGCACCAACCTTTAACAAAGTACAAACCCCTTAGGCAAGCCTACTTTGAAGGGGAACTGGGACACACAAATAAATACACACAAATAAAATCATTCCCCATATTTTCCCATATTTTCTGGGTTTCTGTCTTCCCCCCCACTTCCCATATTTTCCCATATTTTCCTGGGAATCGAGGATTAATTGTGTCTGTGTGTTTTTTCCTCTCCTGACGTTGATCCTCCCCGCGCTTTCTTGCCGAGCTCGCCCGCGCCAGCTCCACAGCTCGCGCGGCCCGCGGAGATCTCCTGCCAAAGCTCGCAGGCGCCCACGACGCGCGAGGCCTCGCTGCGGCCGGAGCCCCTCGACACCAGGTAGCGCGCCTGGGAGGGAGAGGGACCTCTTCGGGGATCGCAGGTCGTATCCAAGTCTCTGGTCGCTTCTGGATGAGATCGGCAGGTATTGGCTGCGCCGCAGGTTGCGCCCTCGCCGCCCCTCATCACTCGCTCGATCACTCTCCGCCTGCAGCCTTTGCCTCAGCCCCTGGGTGTGGGCGCGACGCCGCCCCATGTCCACTGCCAGGACGCCTCAGCAACGGCCGGCCGCAACGGCCGCTCACGCCGAAATTTTTCGTGCCCCGAATGCCCTCCTCCTTGCCGACGCTCCGCGGCCGCCCTCCGCCCTGCGTCTTTCTCTCTCTGCCGGGCGACCAGTATGCTCTGCCCCGGCTGCTGGAGCGCGCGAGCGGATTGCCACTGCTGCGCCCCGGCGGAGAGCAGTGCTGCTGGCTGCGCTGTGACGTGAGCCCTCGGCCGCCGAGGCCCCCACACGACGTGGGGTGGGCCCTCGGCCGCCGGCCCCCGACGCCGCCTGCCATCGACTCTGCCTGGGGCCGTGGGCTGCCCCCTCGGCCGCCGAACCCGGACCGAAGAAGGGGCTGGGCACGGCGGGGAGGAAGCGATGAAACCGTGGATGGACAAGAAAGTGGAGCCCTTGACTGCGCCCCTCCCCCCCCCAGATTCAAGGTTGGTCCCAGGCATTCGACAGCACAGGCGTGAGAGGAACAGCAAAACTTGACCCCCCAGGGCCTCCGCAAGGCCCGACACAACTTTACATCTGGGGGGAGGGGGTGGGGGCGAACACGGGGTCGAACCTGAAGGGGCTCTACTTTTTTGCCCCCCTACCGGAATGGGGCCCCTAACCCTCTGGGGGCGGACCAAAATCAAGAGGCCCAGAACATTAGGAATAGAGGGCCTTTTCACCAGAAGTATCAGAACAAACCACCCACCCAGATCTATCATCTATACGACCATACTTCTGGTGATAAGGATAAGGAGTTTGGGAAGGAGGGGGGGAACGAACCAACTGCTGGCACATGCGAAGGATGTGATGATGACGATGCTGGTGTCGCGCCCTCGGGTTAGCAACGACGCGTGAGGACGATCTTGCGCTGCGATGTAATGTCACTATCGTTCCCACTATCGACCTCCCTTTCCATCTCGCTATCGATCTCACGATCGATCTCACTATCGAGTCCTCGATCGAATACACAATCGATCTCATGATCGATCTCAGAACCAATGTCACAATCAACCTCACTGTCGATTCTACTTTTGATCTCACTATCCATCCCACTCGTCACCGCGCGCCCACCGGGGGCGGAGGGGTGGTCCACTGCATCCGAATCGCCCTAGCGACGGCGGGGTCATTTCTCTCGCGCGCCCACTCAGCTTCGCCTCGCCCGCACGCACATCACGAACACGGAATCGAAACCGATGTTCAAGTGGGGTGCTCTCCGTTCCATTGCGATCTCACCCCCCAAACCTGCGATCCCTAATGCAAGAACGGGAACCTAAGTTAGGCTACGTCTTCATGGTGTTATGAGGACTCGTTTTCTTTAGGTTCTCAATTAGTGGTGGCCCCCATTCTGCCCAGAAAAAGAGGATGGTAAAGGGGGAGCCGGCGAATCAGCTCACGGAGATTGTTGTTCCGGCGCCTCACGGCGCCTGGCGGTGCTGAAACCACCTCCATGCAGCAAATTTCGTACACCCCTCTTCTTTCCCTATCCCGCCTGTCGCCTTACCCGAGCCCCGGCCACATCGGGCCCACTTTGACACGAAGTGTTGGACTATGAGTGTGTCGGCTCCCTGCCAGGCCCACAGGGGGCCCGAGCAGGCCTGGTGGTGTACGCTCGCCACCCGTGGAGACCTGGTAGGGCCTCGAAGTATACACCAGGCCGTCTGGTCGGCCAAGGAGCTTGGTGCAGGCGGTCAAGCACTTTTGCCCAGCGCGTCGTGTCGGGCAAGACTTATATGTCGCCGCGCTGTCTGTTCTCGACGTGCCCGAGTGGATGACGCCGGCACCGCGGCAAACCCACGGCAAATTATGCGTCCCGCACCCTCAGTAGACGAAGCCGGCACCGCGGCAAACCCCACGGCAAGCCCACCCGTCCGAGGCGGCGTTTGCCCTGGTGCCTGGTGCCTGCGTCGCCCTTCCCAAGCCGTAAGGCATCGCGTCAGGACAAGCGGTGCGGCGACATATCCATCCACTGCTTTTTGGAGTTTCGGGCTTCCTTGTCCCAGAATCCAGAGGCGAAGTGCATATGGATACAAATATGCCCCCGCAGAGGCCAAATTCTTAATCTCCATATCCGCTGCGCCTCGGCCTTGTGGTGCCCCTTCTCAGAAAGTCCAAGACGCATCGTGGCGGCGGCTCCAGAGACACGGCAAGCCCTGCGGGCTGATACTTGGCGAGTCGCCCCGCTCCGCCGGGCGTGAGGGTGGGAAGAACTCGGGACGTTCACGCTTGGGCCCAGAACTGGCGGCGCGGCACGCCAAGCAGCAGCGCCTGATCGTCGGCGCCCCAGCCTCCCAGGCTATGGGATGCTGGATCGTCTGCGCACTGAACTCCTTTGCCAAAGCGGGTGGCTCGGCCCACCAGACGGAGTGGCGTACACATCCGTCGGCCACACGCGAGTGACCCTGGGTAAGAAAGACCTTTGGTAGGCGGCGGAACGGGGGACGCCGGGTAGCCAAACCCGAGCGCGCAAGCCGCTGCAAACGCTTCGCGCTCAGCCACTCTGGCGAAAGGTCACTCTATAGTCGAATCCAGACCCTCCGAAGATCGCTCGCCGCCGCGACTTGGCCCACGCCCGCCTCCCCTGCAGGCGATCCCTCGGGCTCCCGCAGCCGCACGCGGACCCACCAGCCGTCGGGCGTCCTCGAGCCCACCAGTAGGTCGCCCGGCTCCGCGCCCTCCACTTCGCAGCCAGGCCCCGCAAGCACGGGCGGCATCGCGAAGTCGTAGGCCCCGCGGCCGTCCGCCAGGGCCCCGCGGAGCCGGCACTGGCTTCCACCTGAGCGGCGAAAAAAAGCGGGCCTTGCGTCAGGTCGGGCATGTCCTTCTAGAGGCGGGTTTTAAACGAATAAGTAATAATAGTCATCGCATATCCCAAAGGAGTGCAACAATACTCGACAAATCATCCTCGGGTTACTTTTTGACTAACTATTCTTGAAGATCCCCCCTGTGTAGAGGGACAAGCCCGACTTCAGCATCACGCGAGATGGCATCGCGCCCAGTGACCTGGTGCGGTGGCTTGTGCAGGCCGCCAGCGTGGCACACCGCGTGGAGAAGAGGGCGCTGAAGTACGCGCAACCTTCCTCCGAGGAGCAAGACAGGCACGAACATAAAACGATTCAAGGTCCGCGCGCAGATGTCTTGGATCGGCGCCGGGACCCCTCTCCCAGGCGCGCGGAGCGCGCCAGCGGCGGCGCCGGAGGCGCCGCCAGGGGGCTCCGGCGCCGATCCGAGAATTCCGCGCGGGACGCCGACTATTTATGCTTATCAATTTCCTTCTTCGACTTACGCGGGTATAGCTTTCACGCCGATGGGCGTGCAGACGACCCCTGTTTCTTCCGTCGCTCACCTGGCCGCCGCCGAACCCGCACCTCGCACCACGCACCGCCCCTGCCGTCGGGCGCGCTGGCGCTGGCGTAGTTGGTGTCCGCGGAGACCACCTCGAAGCCGAGGGCGTCCTCCCCGGGCAGGCGCAGCACCGCGGGCGCCTCGCCGCTGGGCTTGTGGCCCACCACGACGCGGCGGACACCGCCGGCCCGCAGGTAGCGCACCGCGCCTGGGCTGGCCGGGTCGGAGCACTTCGCCAGCCCTTCCTTGATGTCGTCCTCAATGGCCCTGCGCTCGGGCATGTTCTTGCCGTCCACGTAGCAGGTCACCACCACTGTCATGCCCGCGGACGCCGGCCTGCTCTGGTAGGCCATTAGTGCCTCGCCGCCGCGAGTGCCGTCCGCGCGCCAGCGGGGGGAAGCTCGCCAGTCTTCGATGGCCTCGGCGGCGAACTCATTGAGAGCATCCACCCACTCGTCCAGCGCCAGGCCTCGCTGGGCGCCGGGCATCGCCAACAATTCTGCCTCAGTGTGCCGCTTGTACTGCAGCCTGGGGCTGGGCACGAAGCCAAGGGCACGCTCCTCCGCTGCCCCGTGCACGAAGAGGGTGTCGCCGAAGACGACAGCGAGCTGCGCTGCCTCAAGGTAGGAAGCGACCTCGCCACTCGCGTCGGTCGCGGCAGCCACGAAGCTGCGCACCACCTCCTGGTCCGAAACAGGGGCTGTGGCGCCGGCAGCCGCGAGGGCCATGAGCTCCTTGCGGCGGTGCTCGAAGGCGCCCGCGGAGCCGAGCGTGTGGGAGAGCATCCAGCGCAGGCGGTTCTCCTGCGTGTCTTCTGCCCCGTGGACGTCGAGGTACTCGGACAGTGTGGGCGCCCGCGGGTCCCAGAACGGTTGGAAGGCGTCTTGTGGGCTGCTGCTGGCGATGTGGTCGACATCCAGTTCAGCGGAGAGCCGCAGCTTGTTCATGTCGCGGTTGCCCATGAGCAGCGCCACCCTGTCAGGATGCCGCCGCTTCTGGAGAAACCAAAAGGTACCGATACCTCTACTCCCCGGACCTCTCCTGGGGTGCGCTCTGTCCAAAATTTCGGAGCGAATCCGGCGGTGGCGACGAGGGCCTCCTGCAGGAGGCCCCCAAAAGGGGAGACTGGGCGAAGGGTAGCGGTATGGGTGCTTTTTCCTCCTCCGAGCTTCAGGTCCACCAGCGTGCGGGCAAGGCGCAGGTCCCCCGGCCCGCGGTCGAAGGCGTCGCCGCCGTACACGAACCCCACGGCGGGGGACGCCAGGCCCACCGTCCCGCCGGGCCCGCGCGCCAGGACGGAGTGGCCGCTGTCGAGGTATCGCTCGAAGGCCGCGATGTCCCCCTCGGCCCGCGGGAGGCATCCACAGTCGACCGGTTTACAGTCGGAGACCCTCGGACGGGCAAAGCACGCAGAGCATCAAAGGGCAACTACCCTCCGCAGGCTGCGCAAGAACATCAAACAAACAGGAAGCACATTAGGGCACCCTCCCCGAACAGACCTCGATCTGATGCCTCGGTCCGACCGTAGTAAGGGTGCGCGGTCAGGATGCAAGGGCCTTGGGCGCCCATGCCGAGGCTCTTCGAGCGGGGCTGGCCATTGAAAGTGTCCGAGGATGGACCGAAGATGACCGAAGAGGCACGGATCAGGGGTACCCCGTAGGAAGTCGATCATCCTCAACTGCTATGCGGGTTGACTGTGTACACCACCACTTCGTATGGGCAGAGCCATCCTGGGCCCTGGCGTGGCGTGCACACCTCCTGGCCGAGGCCAGGAAGGTCGTTTTACACAACCGCGGGACCCAGGACGGCCTTGGCTGGGCTCGCCCCCTGAGATCCGACGACGCGAAAAAACTGCAACATCGTGACAGATCATGACAAGACTTTCTGAGGTACTCTTCGAGCCGGATCGATCTGTGAGGGTCCTATGGGGGGCTCGAAAAGATGCGCGGAAACGCCCAGCTGGGAAGAACTGCGACAGGACCTCAGGGGTGGCTGTATATAACCCTATCCTGGTGAGAATGAGCCCCTGGGGTTAATAAAGCTCGGGGTCCAGTGAAGAACTCTTCCGCGGGGGGGGGGGGGGGGCAGGTCCCCGGAGGAGGTCCCGAGGCGGGTCCCAAGGGGGGTCCCGGGGGGGTCCCGGGGGGGGGGGGGGGGGGGTCAGATACGACGCCGCCCCTGGGAGTCCCGGAGCCCCAAAAAGCCCCAAGACGGGCTAATAGAGTACCCCAAGAGGCCCCAACGACAGTCCAAGAGAACCCCGAATCGACGAACGATCTGTCCAAGACGCCTTGACGGCCTCCAGCCAGCCCAAGAGGCCTGCAAAGCGCCCCAAGAGGCCTCCAAGAGCTTTCCCGCGAGAGCCCCAAGAGGCAAAATTTACTGATTTCCAATCCGTTTTTGACAGATTTGGGCGTTCTTGCCTCTTCCGCTTCCCGACGCGCCAAAACGGCCCAAGAGGCCCCCAAAATCGCCCCGAGACGGCCCAAGAGGCCTCCAAGAGGGTCCCCTAACGGCCGGAGAGGGCCCCAAGACGGCCCAAGACGCCTCCAAGACGGCCCAAAAGGCCCCCAAGACGGCTCCAGGAGAGTGACCAGACGAGGGACCCGAACGGACATTTCGAGCTCTCAGCCCCAAGAGGCCCCCAAGAGGCCCCGAAGAAGCCCCAACAGGCGCCAAGAGGCTTCCACGGGGCCCCCAAACTGCCCCAAGACAGCCCAGGAGCCCCGAATTGCCCAGGAGGCTGGCCTCTTAGAGTGCCTCGAGACGGCGCAAGAGGAGCCCTGGACGGCCCAAGACGGCCTCAAGAGAGCCCTAGGCTGTCCCAAGAAAGCCTCTGGCCTCCTCCTCCTCCTCCTCCTCCTCCTCCTCCTCCTCCTCCTCCTCCTCCCCACCCCTCTGCTCCCCCTCCTACTGCTCTCCTCTGCCTCCTTCTCATCTTGCTTCTCCTCCACATCCTTCTCCCCCCTCCTCCTCCTCCCTCATCCATCTCCTCCACCCTTCCTCCACCTCCCACTCATCCTCCTCCCCCTGCCCCCCTCGATGTCATCTTCGTCGTTCTCAGGGTCGGCGGCACCGGCCGCAAGGCCTTCGCAATCAACTCCTCCCTGGAGATATCAATAGTAGGATGTCTAGACCGATCTTCCCGAAGATCAAAGCTACGATAGGAACTTAAAAAGAGATAATCAGATTCGGTCTCCCTGCCCGCTGCGGCAATGGAGCCACAGTAAAATCCGTGGACAAGCCGATACAACAGTTGAGGGGAGGGTACTTTCTTGTCCGCGGGTTGCGGACCTCGAGGTCCGTGATGAAGCCCACCTCGCCCACGCAGGAGGGCCAGCGGGGCCCCGCGGCGCGCGGCGCGCGCGACGCTGCCGTCCGCAGGCCGCCGCCGCCAGCGCCGCCCGCGGCGCCGCGGGCGCGCGCCGCGGACCGCGACCGGCTGCGCGCCGCCGCCTGGGGCGCGGCCATGGGCGCCGCAGAGAGGCTGCGGCAAGCGCGCGCGGCGCGCGGGCAGGTCGGGGGCGACGAGAGGGGAGGGGCGGGCACGATGCGCACAGGCAACCCGTCTACAAGGAGGACGCGCGAAAAGGAGGCAAGGGCCTTGGAAGGCCATGCCGACGCTTTGCGAGCAGGGCGCAGCGCAACCAGCAGAAGCGGCCAAGGATGGGCCGAAGGGGAATGCAAGGGTACTAATAGCCTTGGAAAGTCGCTCATCCTTACTGTGCAGGTTGACTGCGTTCGCCAAGGAGCCTCGCCGATGACACAGACCACCGACCCCCCTGGATGCATGGCGGGTGCCCGAAGCCCTGAACCAAGAAATGTTGTCACCTCCTGGGGGTGCATGTTTTACTTCCGCCGGCTTCCACCGGACGAGCCGCCCTCGCTTTACTTCCGCCGCCTCCCGCCGAGGGAGAGATGCCAACACCTTCGGCCCTCGACGGCAAAGCCCTCTCTGGGAGTGCCTCACATGCACTGCTCCCCACGGAGCCCGAGCCCGAGCCCACGCCCGAGCCGGAGCCGAGCTGGGGGCCTCCACCCCCATCGGCGCCTCCGAGCCGAGCAACGCCCTCCGCGGCGCGGCGCCCCTGGCGAGGACGAGCGCCGCGCCGAGGCGCACCGCTGGCCCGCGGAGGCGGGGCGGGGGGCGCCTCGGGCGCATCGGGGGGCTGCCCGTCAGCAGCGGGTGCTCGAGCCACAGCCTGAGCGCCTGCGATCGAGCGGTGCCTGGAGAGGTGGGCTGCAAGCTTCCGGCTGCTCAGCACAGCACCGGCTGCTCGGCGCAGACTGTCAGCATTGCCTGCGGTGCCGCCGCCTGGGGCAGCGCGCAAGCCGAGCCCTGGCTGGGGCTGGAGCTGGGCAAGGGCCAGGACCCGGGCTGGTGGCCCGGGGCCTGGGGTGTCCTCGGTCGGCGTCGCCTCTCTGGCGCCCTCGCTCGAAGATTGTTGGCGTCTGTACCCAAGGGTTGGGCGTGAAGGGGGGAGGAGAGGAGGAGCAAAGACAACGAGAGGTGGCACCATCACCACTAGCGCGAGAAACCCTGTCCGTAAGATGTTCGGCCCCCCTCCGCGTATTGTTTTTTACACAAAGGCTTTCCGCGAATTGGTACTCCACATGTGTTTTTACATATCCATGTCTTTCTGGTCTTTCAAAATGTTGCTTCCGCAGCAACGCTGGCCTCATTTTCGGGCTTCCGCTCGTTCCGAATCGTGCTCCCGCTGAAACGCTGACCTCATTTCCGCCATTCCGCTCATTCCGAATCGTGCTCGCGCTGCAGCGCTGGCTTCATTTTGGGTGCCATGCCATGGCATGAAATGCAATGCTATGGTGTGTTCCGCTGTGCGGTGCCATGCCTGAAACTGCAATGCCATGATATGCAGTGCTTGACTACGCAATGCCACGCCGTGCTACGTCATGCTCCGCGTTTTCTCTTCAATGCCATGTTATGCCATGTAATGCTATGCCGTGCTGCGACACATCGCTGACGCCGGCGGGGGCGCTGCCGCAGCGCTGGCATCGCCGCCGTCGCCCGCGCGGAAGGCCGCCGTCCGCCGGGGGGGGCGCTGCCTTCCAGCCAGCGCGCAGCCGAGGGGCTCCCCGACGGCCACCACGTGCCTCAGCTGGTGCAGCAGGCGGGCCTCGGGATCCGCCTCGGGCAGGACGGTAAGGGCGGGGCCGGCTGGTCGGTCGGTGGCCGGGCTGGTCGGTCGGGCTGTGCCGCTCGGCGGCCGCCGCGAGGGGGGGCGGAGAAGGCAGGGGGAGGGGGAAGGAGAGTCTGGTCAGCGTGTTTGTGTCATGGGCAAGAGGAGGGCGTGAGAGGTGAGGGGGGCAGAACGATGAGAGGGAACATATGAGAGAGGGTGAGGGGGGATGCTTGATGCGGCGGTGTTGTTCCTAACCATCCTGCGGGGGTTGGTCCTCGTTCAAGAGACAGCGCACCGCGTCATCCTTCCCCTTCTCTCTTCTCTTCCTGCCTCTGCTGACCGCATGCCCATTTCGGCACACCCCTGACACATTTCGTAGCCTCATAGGGAGCTCCACCGAAATCCGCAGGAGGGTTTTTTTTGCATGTGGGTCTCCACACCCCTCACACGCTTCGTGGCCTTATAGGAGCCCCCACCGAAGTCCCAAGAGGGGGATTTCTCATGCGCTTCTCCACGCCCCTCACACGCTTCGTGGCCTCATAAGGAGCTCCACCGAAGCTCACAGAAGAAGATTGTGCACGGGTCTCTCCATACCCCTCACACGTGCCGTGGCCCCATGGAGAGCCCCACCCAGACCCCTGTTTTCTACATGTGCCTCCCCACGCCACTCACACGTGTCGTGGCCCCACAGGGAGCTCAACCAAAGCCCCGAGGAGGGAGTCCGGCTTTGAATGCGGTTCTGTACACCCGTTCGTGACCGACCCCATGGGACTCTCCAACGAACCCCCCCTGAAAGGGTGTTGCATGTGGTGCTCCACACCTTTCACGCGTTCCGTGGCCACATGAGGAGCTCCACCAGAGACCCCAGGAGGGGAGGTTCGCTTGCGGTTCTCGCATTTCTGGGCCCCAGAGGGAGCCAACCGAAGCCCCATGACGGGGGGTTGCATGCGGACACATCCTTCACACGCATCGTGGCCGCATATAGGGCTCCACCGAAGCCCCCAGGACGGGGTTTTCGCATGCAGTTCGTACCAATGTCTGCGCACCCTTCACACGTTTCGTAGCCCCACGGAGAACTCCACCAATGCCCCCGGGAGGAATGTTTCACATGCGGTTCTTACCCATTTCGGCTCCTCTGGCACGTTTCGCGGCCCCACAAAGGGGGCTCCACCGAAGCCCTCAGGAGAAGGGCTTCGCATGTCGTTATTACCTATTCGGGCACACCCCTCATACGCTTCGTGGCCCCGCAAAGAGCTCTCTACAGAAGCCTCCGGGAGAGGGGGGCGCATGCAGACTTGACCAAATGGGGGGCACCCCTCACACGACCCACAGGGAGTTTTACCGAAGCCCCAAGATGGGGGTTGCCGCATGCGGATCTCATCCATGTCGGCACACCTCTCACACGTTTCGAGGCCTCATATGGGGGCTCCACCGATGCCCCCCTAAGAGGGGGTTTTCGCATGCGGTTCTTATCCATGTCGGCACCACCCCCACACGCTTCGTGGCCCCATATCGGGGTTCCACCGAACCCCCCCGCGAGGGAAGGCTCGTATGCGATTATGCTCTATGTCGGTACACATGGACACACGTTTCGTGGCCCCGGGGCTCCACCCAAACCCCAAGGAAGGGGGTCTCGCATGCGATTCTTACCCATTTTGGCACACCCTTCACACGCGTCGTGGCTCCCCAAGGAACTTCACCGAAGGCCCCGCCCAGAAGGGGTGGGAGCGCATGCCGTTCCCGACCCTTTTTGGCACATCCGTCGCACGTGCCGTGGCTCCATATAGCGCTCCACCGAAGCCCCCAAGAGAAGGGGCTCGCATGCGGTCCTTGCCCGTTCCGCACACCTCTCACGCGCTTCGTGGCCCCAAAGAGGGCTCCACCGAAGCCCCCGGTACCGATTTCGCATGTGGTTCTCATCAGGTCGGTACACCCCGCAACACGTTTCGTGATGCTTCGTGGCCCCATGCATCCCAAGGACAAAAGTTTTCCCTCTTGGGCCCGAGACGACGGTTTGAACCCTTGAGCAGACGCGTATGAAATGAACGCCGTGGGATACAACGAAATTCGCGCGGATCCAATGTTGGTTTTAGTTGTTGTTTCGGTGGATCCAATTTCCGTCCGCGCGGATCCGATTTCGGGTTTTCTGGATCCGCGCCCAGTCATATTTTGAACGGCGGATCCGACTTCTACTCCATTTTGAGTGTATATGATTACATTAAGACGGGGAGCCGAAAGAAATCGGATCCGCGGACCACGGAAAGCGCCCGTGTTTAGACTCTACGGGGAAAAGGGGGTTCGGTCAACTTCCCAAGATGGGCCCTGCGCTGTCTCGCGCACTCCCGTCGATTTTCCACGAGCGCGGGTCCCACTCAACATGGATACGTCCCTCTCCTCCCGGTTGCTGCACGCAGCTCGTCCACTCGCCGTCCATTCGGCGGCGCCGATGCTGTCTCGTAAACTCCTCATCGTCATTTTCACCTCAAAAGGACAATCTTTCGTCCTGCGTAAGTGCGTTTCGGCCCTGCGCCTCCTGACTCGAAGGGTTGCTTCCTCGTCGTCCTCCTTTTTTTCCGCCCTCCCGCGCATAAAAAAGCGCGGGCAGGAAGGGCTCCTGCTACGTTGTGGGCAGCCCGAACGGGGACTAGAACGCACGACGTGTTCTCTTTTCTGGTGGTTTGCGAGGACGTTTCGAACGGGAACTCCTGAGTGCACGTGATGTCGGCTACGCAGTATCCAACACTTCCGAAGGCCAAAACGCCAGTGCGTTTCGGCCCTGCGTCACCCAACTCAACGGACTGCCTCATCGTCGTCCTCCTTTCCGCCCTCCCACGCTCAAGAACAGCGCGGGCAGGAAGGGTTCCTGCTACGTTGTGGACGTCCCGAACGGGACCTCCAGTAACAAACACGACGTGTTTTCTTTTCTAGTGGTTTGCGAGGACGTCTCGAACGTAAACTCCTGACTGCACGTGGCGGGGGGAATATGGTGTGATGTGGTGTGTCGGCTACGTGGCAACCAACAAATCCGAAGGCCAGAACGCCCATCCACAGGACGAAAGTTCTCCTCTTGGGCCAGGAACGACGGCTTGAACTCGTGAGCACACGCGTCTGAGATAATCGCCGTGGGATCCAACGAAATTCGCGCGAATCCAATGTTGGTGTTGTTTTTGTTTCGGTGGATCCAATTTCCGTCCGCGCGGATCCGATGTCGGGTTTTCTGGATCCGCGCTCAATTATATTTTGAACGGCGGATCCGGATTCTACCCCGCTTTCCATCTATATGATTACATCAAAACGGGGGATCGAAAGACATCAGATCCGCGGACCCCAGAACCCGCCCGTGTTTAGACTCTACGGGGAAGGAGGTTCGGTCATCAACTTCCCAAGATGGGCAGTGCGCTGTCTCACACAGTCCCATCAATTTTCCACGAACGCGGGTCCCACTCAGCATGGATACGTCTCCCTCCTCCCGGTTGCTGCACACAGCTGGTCCAGACGCCGTCCGTTCCGCGGCGCCGATGTTATCTCGTAAACTCCTCATCGCCATCTTCACCTCAAAAAGAAATCATTCGTCCGCTTAAGGAGGGGAGCTCGACCGGAACCTAAAGAGGCCGATCTCGCATGCTGTTCTCACCCATGCCGGCACACTCATCACACGTTTTGTGGCCCCATGGGGAGCTCAACCGAAGCCTCCGCCGGGGGGCGGGGGGCGCAATCGGTTCTTACCCATGCCAGCAAACCCCGTCACACGTTTCGTGGCCCCGCGGGGAGCTCCACCGACGCCCCCAGGAGGACGGTTTCGAATGCGGTTCTTACCCATTCTGGCAACACACACACACACACCTCATACGTTTCGTGGCCCCGTAGGGAGCTCTCTACCAAAGCCTCCAGGAGGTGGGTGTTGCATGAGGTTCGTGCCCATGTCGGCACACACACACACATACCTCACACGCTTCGTTGCCCCACATGGAGCTTCACCGAAGCCTCCAAGAGAAGTTCTTCGAATGCGGTTCCCTACTCATTTTGGAACGCCCCTCACACGCTTCGAAGCCCCCAGGAGGAGGGTCTCCCATGGGGTTCCTATCCATGTGGACACACCCCTCACACGTCTCGTGGCCCCACAAGGAGATACACCGAGACCCCAGGAGGGAACGTTCGCATGTGGTTCTTGCCCATTTTGGCACACCCCGTTACACGTTTCGTGGCCCCAGATGGGGGCTCCACCAGAACCCCCAAAAGGAGGGTCTCGCATGCGGTTCCCCACTCACTTCGGCACACCCCTCACACGTTTTGAAACCCCACGGGGAGCCCCACCGAAGCCCTCAGGGAGGGGGGCCGCATGCCGTTCCCCACCCATTGCTACACACCCGTCACACGATTCGGACGGCCCCAGCGGCACAGCTCACATGCGCCACCAGGCCCATTTCAGCGCACTTCCCACACGCAACATTATCCCAAAGTGAGCTCCACTGAAGGCGATATTCACAAATGCGACACTCACAACTACATGCGGCTGGGTCCATGCTCAAGATAACTTTTTGTTGGAAAGGGGGCGGGAAGGCGCTGGTAGGTCCTCTACTCCCTCCGCCTGGGGGCCGGCCACCGAAGCCGGGCGAGCCTCCTCTAGCATAAGGGAAGCGGGTCCTGAGGGAAGCGGGTACTGGACCCTGGCGCCTCCCCCAGGACCAACTCTTCATCCTGACTCGTTTTCTGACAGTCCTGGGGCCCGTTGAGGGCCGCGAGAAGCCAACACCGTCGACAACCTCAAAACCCGCTTTCCTCAGGACACGCGTCCGCCCCATGGCGACTGGGAGACCAACAGGTACCAATACCGCTGCTCCCAGGACCTCTCCTGGGGTGCGCGTTCTGACCAGGACTTCGCGAGGCGAATCCAGCGGTGGCGACGAAGGCTACCCACGAGGCCCAAAAAGGGGAGAAAGAGGGAAAGGTCAAAGTACTGTTGACGGAAAAACTTTGCATCAAGAGTTGGGGGACCACTTCGAATA